ACTCTATCTACAATTTTACATGTCACTTCATGTGCTTCACTTCAAATGGACCTTAATGCCTATACAAAATCCCGAAGTGAAAATGAAAGTTTTTGTAGTTCCAGAGAGGAATTTTTACCTCAAAATCTACAGTAGTAGGCTCATGACTTCCTAAGCCACTCAACCAATACTGAGCTATTACCAATTCTATTGTCCGGCCACCAACCACAGGGAAGGCAAAGCTTTTGACAGCTGGAGAAGAAAAGGTTACAACACTCTCCCACTTGATAGGCCTTCGTAAGGGACAAAGCTGCAAATTGAAGGCATGTCAAAAACCAGAGTTCTAAAATCTGACATTAATTCTTAACATATGCCATACCTGCACTGTATCAACAAAAAATCGCCGAGTAGTATCAAACCCCGATGTTCGCATGGTTGCCTCAATCCACGTAGCACCAAGCGGCACCTCTATATATCGACGTTCTATGTGGCCTATAGATGCAATCATCAGGAGGATTAAAGGACTTCTATTTCATAAGGCAATGATAGAGAAAAGAAATCAGACCAAATGTTCCAATTCTCATAGAAGTCAATAGTATGATAGCCAACTGTATCAGAACTGAGAGGTAAGGAAGACAAATGGCATGCCATACCATGTATACAGTTAAAATCAGGTGTACCATCAATATGTGCTGAGGCAAATTATAACAATAGCTTGAGTGATTCAAAATTTCAAACACGTATGCACTTGTCACATTTGCACTTGTCCGTAACTCTAAACGAATTTTAGCGGGTGTTTCTAATCGCTGATTTGGTGTGCATAGATAGCTTTAAACACCCTTCCTTCAGTGTTTGTGTTTGATAATGTAAGAAGCAGGATACTTCCTAGGTACTTAAAAGTGACTTCAGAAGGTAAAAAAATAAGCACCCTAGCCCTAAATTTTTAGGCTCATATTTTTTTATATCTAATTAATTCACTTAATTAACCTCTTGCTATCCTCTTAAGCTTACCAGTATATACATAAAACAAAATAATAAAAATATTTGTAATATACATTTTTTAATTTATTTTACAGTTTTTTTTCAATCAATACCTTATCAAACATACAGAAAGTTATTCTTTAATAAGAACTTACCTAATTTAAGTAACTAAAAGAGCATTATCACCTTAAGTACATTTTTCACGGCAATCTCAAACATCTTAAGAAGCAACAAAAACAACTTAAAAAACTGTTGTTCCATATTTGATTTGCATTGAAAGCTTTTTTCTGTTTTTTGAAATAAGACTTTGCATTAAAAGCTAGTCAATAGTCATCCGGAGCATTTGAACCTCTTACACAATATATAGGACGATTGAACAAATATTACAGTATCAATTTTTTTATTTGATTCATCACATCATGAATGCGTTATTGCGTCGATGTAGAATGAATTAGCTCTAGATTGGCTAAATAGATGACAAAGCATAATTTTGTTAAATATGAAACCACTATGGTACTTAGGAGCATATTACTATAGTTTCAGTGGTTTTAGAACATTATTTTATTACTATTTCGTTTTTCCTATTGTTACTAATAGTATTATTTCCTAATTACATTATTATTAGTATTCTTTAATCTAATTTTATCAGAGAAAGACTACTTAGGTTTATACAACTTCAATATTTTCATCTCAAAAAAAACAAAAAAACCGAGAAAGATTACTTAGGAAACATTGTAAATTTGAGACAGACTTCAATTTTTTTTTTAAATAAGACAGACTTCAGTTATTAAATAAATACTTTCTAAAAGTTTCTCATTTTCTAGTTTTCTATTAATAAATACTTTCTAAAAGTTTTTTATTTTCTAGTTTTCTAATGTAATCAAATCTTTAAGTGTGATATTTAGAATTTCTTAAAATGTGATGTGTAAGAAACCTTAAATGTAAGACCTATGTTTTTATTTTCAAATTCTTGTATAGACAAATTAACCCTAAGTTGTCCTACACCATGCACGGTCCATTTTATGACTCATTAGTTCACGTAAGCATTATAAACCACAGAACAAGCATGTCAAAAAGTTCTTTAGTTCACAGTTGTTATGATCTTCAAACTGTCAAAGGAAAAAGGGAATGAATATAACCTGGCACAAATGACATCCTTGAAAATGAAATTAGTGGCGGTCGATTTATTACAGCTTTAGGCTTTGTTATGGTAACTGGAATTCTGAAAAGGGGACCACGCCATGGTGCTTTGCAATCAATTGCATAGACTTCATAGTAATGTAAACCATCACTGAGACTGGTAGGATCCACCACTATACTGAAAGAAATTGTTTTCGAAAAATTAGTAAACCAGAAAAATATAAAATAAAACAACATCCATGAGTGAGTTTAATTTGACCTAAAAAAGAGAAAGAAAGTAATTGCTTGAATATCACAAAGAAAGCCAAGTAAAAGTGACTAACTTGAAGCTGCGCCCATTATGAGTGAGCAGGAGATATTCAGGAGCCCTAACAACTGCTTTTCCGCTAGAACGCAACTCAATACACTCTTCAAATGGAACTAGTTCTTCAAAATTGCTAGAATTGTCATGGAACTTTGGATCAACTTGTACTGTCCACTGTTAAAATGTGTAATATTTTGCTTAAGTAACACGTAAGTGGAAAATAAGAAGCAACAACTAAGCTGAAATAAGAGATGTTCTGTGCTCCCTAGAATATAAGTAGAGTTAATAAATTACAGAACTTTAGGACTAAAGATTCCAAATTTATCTGATAACAACATTCACAAAACACTGGACAAAAACGTATTTAACAAGATACTGATGACTGAAAGGAAAATAAAAAGTCTTCTATTTCTTTCTTTCCATAAAACCCATGAAGTGACTAGCAGGATAGTGCTCAGATTCTTGTTATATCTTCTAACCCCATGGATGCCTATCCAGGCCCATATCTCTTCTCATATGCATGATGATATGTAGATATAATTAAATTGTTCAGAATTCTCTCACTGTTATTGATAAATTTTACCTCAGCAGATTGCTGACATGCTGTAGCATCCCTAAGGTAGACTCCTCGGGCTGCAGGAGCTGCCATTAAAACATGCCACCAAAAACAGAAGGCTCAATATCCTTAACACAACTAAGTTTCACAAACTTTACAAGAGCAGAAGAACCTCATGATAAAAACCAAAAGAAAGAGAAAGCGCATAAGCTGGTAAGAAACATACTTATTGCAAAGAAATGATAACTCCTGTTATCTAAAGAGAATTTCCATATAACTACAGTATCAATAAAATCCCCACACAGAGAGTCCATCTCAGTAGCACTGATATTCTTATACCAACAATGTCTTAGCAAGCAAGTCTGAGATTTTAATGCTAACAGGCAGATATGCAGAAGTATCATATCTTCTGCCTTAACCTAATGATCCTTTCTTTTCTTTGGGAATGGAGATGCAGAAGGCAGGAGGGAGATGGGATGCAAAACCTGATGAAAAATAGGCTAGCTCTAGATTGCCTAAATAGATTCAGGGTTGTAATGCTTTTAAATATAAAACATTTGTACTAATTAGGAGCCTATTTTTATAGTTTTAGTACTCTTAAGATTTTATTCTTTTTGGTATTGAGTTTTTCTATTTGTATTAGTAACAATATTTTCTAATCCTATTAATATCAGTATTTCTTAAGTCAATCCTATTTAAGAAATGTACTTGTGATGTTATCTTTTAGAACATTTTTTTGTCCATATTTTTTGAGAAAAGACTTCAGTTATTCAATAAAATATTTTGAGAGTTTTTCAAAATTTTTGGTTGTGAATTGCATTCAAACTTTTAAATATGATGATTACAACTTTTTAGATAAAAAGTGTAAGAAACTCTTGGTCTAATCTCCATGTTCTTTTTTTTTTTTTTAAATAAACAGTATTATCAACAAATGCACTAAAGGGGTGTTAACCCGTTTACAAGATATTTACATATCAATTAGCAAGTCACTAAAATTCCCTAAATCCTTCATAAAGTACAAAACATGACCCAATAACAAAAACCAAGTATCTGAAACCATCTATTTTTAAGTAAATTAAAACCATCCTCCTCATCCACCATTTCAAAAGATCTTACATTCCTCTCCTTCCACACCCCCAAAAGATTGTGATAGCAATGATGTCCGCGTATTTCCTCCTCCCACTGATTTCCTTCCACTCCCATAACTCTTCTCTAACCGACCCTGCCATCACTCACTAGGCTCCTAATAACCCATAAATCATGGTCCAAAGCTTGTAAACCTCCCAGCATCAAAGGAATAGATGATTACATGTCTATGCAGCCCTTTTACAAAAAAAAAAGAAAAAAAAAAAAAAAAAAACAACCATTCACTAGAAGCTTACCCTGTCTCATTAACTCATTAATGGTAAGAATTAAACTCTACTGGCCTCCCAAGAAAAAAAAAATTGGGAGGAGCTTTCACCTTCCAAATTTGTTTAACCAAGAATCTGATGCCATTATCCTCTTTTTTCATCAAAAACCTGTAGTAAGATTTCACCGAAAAATGTCATTCTTACTCATTGATCATGTTGAACTATCAATGGTATCATCCATTGACACTCGAGATAAAGTGTCAAGAAGCTTCTCATATTCATTAATCTCCCAATCATTGAGATTTCTTACCACAATAATTTGTCACATCCTTTCACCTCCCAAATACTGCTGAAGGCTTTGCTGATCAAGATGTTTTTCTGTTGTACATGGCAAAGATCTGAGGTTACTGATCTCTTAGAAGTCCACCTTCTATCCATGGATCTTGCAACAATCTAACTCGGTCTCCCTTACCAACTACCCATCTACTGCATTTATAGAATTTGTCTCGAGCCATGCCAATTATTTTTCACAAAATTTAACCTTGTGGTCTCGTCACTACATCCACATACCAATCTCTCTCAACAGTGCTGAATTTCGCCTCAATCACCCTTCTTCATAGCACTCCTTCCTTCATAAATCTCCAAAGCCACTTGCCCTGCAGAACACTATTCATCTCTACTAAAGATCGTACTCCCAACTCTCCACTAGATAAAGGTCACTTAACCTTATTCCAGGTAACTAAATAGAATCTTCTCTTTTGATTTGAATCGCCCCAAATAAATCAGCACTGTATATTCTCCTACTTATTAGCTACATTCACTGGCAATATTAGAAGAGGCATGGAAAAAATGGATAGATTACCCATTGTGCTTTTTATAAGTTTGAGTCTCTTCCCCCTTTGGATATGAGAGTTCTCTTCCATCCAACCAGCCTCTTTTCAAACCTGGATACCACCAGATCTCATGTTCTTGCCCTAATGGTAAACCCAAATACTTGATAGGTAAATTGATTGCCTTACAATTCATAACCCTTGCCAAACTATCAGTATCCCTCTCATTTCCCAATCTAACCATATCAGATTTAGTGAGATTGATGTTAAGACCCAACGCTGCCTAAAAACTCATTAATATACACCTGAGATTACGCATGACTCTTTTGTCTTGTTCACAAAATATCATAATATCATCTGCGAATAACAAATGAATTATCTCTTCAGCATTAACACCTCCTCCCACCTTAAGTTTGAAGAGATCTATCTCCCTAGCCCTGATCAACATTTTGTTCAATGCTTCCATGATCACAATAAAGAGCATGGGAAGGGTCCCCTTGTCTGAGTCCTCTAGATGCCTGAAAAAAATTGATGGACCACCGTTGATCATAACCGCAAAAGAAGTAGTAGTGATGCAAGCTTTAACTCATCAAACGCCATCTCTCACCAAAGTCCATACGCATAAGCATGTAGTCCAAGAAATTCTAGTTCACATGATCATAAGTTTTTTCTACATCAAGTTTACACACCATCCCCTCCCTCTTCCTGTGCACTAGGTCTTCCACCACCATATTGGCAATAGGAGTAACATCAACAATTTATCTGTCACTCACAAAAGCATGTTCACTATCCCTTATCACCTTACTCAT